TGTGGAGTGGGGAACCTTTTGGAACCCAAGAAGATCGTCAATATCATACGGAATTCATATGATGGACTACAGTGCAAAGTCGTGAATAGAGGACAGCTAACAGACACATTCCAAGTGAAGATCGGAATCAGACAAGGCTGCTTTCTCTCTCCCTTCCTCCTTCTAATGGATGACTGGATCTGAAGACCACCATATATCAATGGAAGCACGGGATACAAGGAACAGTTTGGTTGCAACTAGACAATTCGGACTTCGTAGATGACCCAGCTCTACTATCCCATAAACATCAACAAATGAAGGTCAAGATAAACAGAGTAGCAGTAGCCTCTGCATCAGTAAAACTCAACATACACAAATGAAAATACAAGATCCTCAAGTATAATATGGAGGATACCAACACAATCAGACTTGATGGAGAAACTCTGGAAGAGAAGGAAAGTTTTATGTGCCTGGGCAGTATCACCGACAAACAAGAAGGATCTGATGCAAATGTAAAGTCAAGAATTGTCAAAGTGAGGGCAGCATTCCTACAGTTGAAGAACACATGAAACCCAAAACAACTGTCAACTAATATCTAAGTCAGAATCTTCGATACGAACGCAAAACAGTTCTACTGTATGGAGCTGAAACTTGGAGAACTATTACAATCATCATCAAAAATGTACAAGTATTCAGAAACAATTGTTTACTTAAGATACTCCATATCTGTTGACCGGATACTGTCAGCAACAACGTATTGCAGAAGAGAACAAACTAGTTTCCAGCTGAAGTGGAAATTAGGAAAAGATGCTGGAAGTGGATAGAACATACATTACGGAAATCACCAAACTGTATCACGAGCTTACCTGGCAAGCGCTTACCTGGAATTTTGAAGGTAAACGGAAAACTGGGATATGGAAAGGACGAATAGCAACTGGGAAGAACTGGAAAAGATTGCTCAGGACACAGATGGATAGAGAATGTTGGTGATCAGCATATGCTCTTCCACGAAGGCTAACAGGCGTACGTAAGTAAGTAACTAAAAAATGTTTAATAGTTTTATTTACATACAAGAAATCAGTAAAAAGCGAGCAGTATAAGAAACTTTTTCATTGTTGGTTTTCCACTCGTTTAGCATTGGCAATTTTCACCGTCTATATTTGTTGGGATTGTAATCTTATATATGCGTTGTTTTCTTTTAAATTTTAATCTCCATTCAAGATTACCAATATAATTTGGTTTTGAATCATTTGGAGTTAGGAAGTGATCTAAAGATTCATCGTTGAATGTAAGCGAAACAAATATTATTCATAAGTTGAAATCATGAGTCAGTTGAAGCTAGACCACCATTGAAAACCTGGAATCACTGGACGGCCGTTTCGTCCTAGTATGGGACTCCTCAGCAGTGCGCATCCACGACCCCGCACCACCCGGGGCTCGAACCCAGGACCTACTGGCTTCGCGCGGGAGCACTTAACCATTAGACCACTGAGCCGGCATCCAACGGTGTTAATGTCCAACTTCAACCAATCCACTAGTCCACTAGTCCACCAGTCCAACTAGTGACTGACTTCAGGAGACACTTCTGGAGTTCTAGTGAGAAGTCGTTACCAGTGGAGTTCAACCAGGTCTGTTGTGAGATAGGAACTCACTGAGGACAATGGTGTACGGTAGCGCAACTTCGTGGATTGGTTGAAGTTGGACATTAACACCGTTGGATGCCGGCTCAGTGGTCTAATGGTTAAGTGCTCGCGCGCGAAGCCAGTAGGTCCTGGGTTCGAGCCCCGGGTGGTGCGGGGTCGTGGATGCGCACTGCTGAGGAGTCCCATACTAGGACGAAACGGCCGTCCAGTGCTTCCAGGTTTTCAATGGTGGTCTAGCTTCAACTGACTCATGATTTCAACTTATGAAATTTCTAAAATCTCCACAAAACCCATTCTGATAAAATATTATTCAATCATATAAGCAACAGAAGATTTCATTCATTTAAAAATTTACATCAAATGATGAGAATAAATTACTTTATAGTCAATCAGACAAACAAAACAATGATCAAGTTGACTAGATTAACCTTTCCAAATCTCATTCTGATCGAATAATTACATTTAACAAAATGTATTTCATTGACTATATTACATCATTAAAGTCTATTTTTATTTTACATTACTTCTCAATAGACTTACAATAAATGTATTCATCTATGAGTTGGTGTCTTGAATTAATACAATAAATGACAGAAATTTCACTTCATGTTGTCTTTGTTGAAATGCAAAGAAGAAAGATGAGTTTTTCACTATGTCAAGTGAAAAAAATCTTATTTTTTCAGTCACAAAAAAAGTTTTCCAATCCCTCTGGGCGGGATCACAGATGTGTACTACTGAAGAGTCCCACAATAGGACGAAACGGTCATCTAGTGCTTCCAAGTTTTCTATGATGATCGAGCTTCAATCGAATCATAATCTCAAGTATTTAAAGTTTTATAATAAATTAAGTGAAATAATATGGATTTTCAAACTGAATAGTTGAATAGATAAGTTGAATAGTTTTACTTAATTGTTAATGAATTTTAACTTCTATTGAATTATGATCGGAAATGTTTTATTGACGTATTATATTGTTTGTTTTTTAAAAATAAACCTCAAAAGATAGAAGGTATCAACCAAGTTCAAACTGAAGATTATGTTTAAATAGAGAAACTTAAATAAGTTTTACCAAACTGTTGAGTAGTACTGACCAGTTTATCTGAATATCTAGTAAGAAAAATATGTAAATATATATGGGTTATTTAATGGTTGAATTTATAGCTAGACTATCATGAAAAATCTCGATTAACCTGGGTTAATTTTTCTAAAAATAAATTAACTAAACTCTTGAATTAATTGCTAATTGATATTTTGAAATACTGGTTATATAAATCAGATTTGGAAAGGGTATAGCAACTATCCTACAACTAATCTCGATTATGGTGAAATTTGGTTAAGCCCATTTATTAAGTTACGTAAATGACAATCTTATTTGAACAGTAACAATTCGTATATGCCTTTGCGCACCCATGAATTACCTTGGTACCTCAGGGAATTGCACTCGTGATTGTGATGCACATATCCACGTACAACAGTCCAATAGCCGTCTATAATCTTACAAAACATGAAGGCCGGACATTGGGTGTTCATAGAAGCCCTTCGTTAAAAAAATTGTAGAACCATTTATCAAATTACCTTCTCCGTCTAATACGTTGTGACGAACCGCTAGATCTTATACGCCCATTTCGCCAACACACAAATTTAATGTACGATTTTTGATCTCTGTCAATATGCGAATCTCTCACTACATAATGACTGTAAGTCGATCTTTCAAAATTTGTGATAGTGGTTTTTAACGCTTCAACCGATGGAAACGCAACCAGAAACAAGGTAGTCAAAAAGACTTCCTCCATTTCCGTTACGTGAGAAACACCAGCGTTTGTACTCGGCACGTTAGTCTGCTCTATAATGGTGATTGAAATTGTGCTTCGTCAACAAGTACTGATAATTTATAGCAATTTTCAAGACATAACTAACCAATTAAATCTAATTTTTGAAACTAGCCATTTCATTGGATGAAAAATATTGTAATTTTAGGGTGAAAATTTTTTTTATTGGGGTGGGTTTTTTTTTTTAAAAAATGGCCGGTCGGACAATATTATTCATCATTATCTTGTCGGTATAAATGTGTATTCTTGATCACATGACAGACTCTAACCAAAATGTTGATTGCTTAAATATCACTCGACGATTCATTCTCCTCCCCATGTATATATGTACTCAAATCCTGATAATTCAGTTTCAACTTTGTTGACTGTTCAATGATCTACAAGATCAATATCCTATGCTCATCATTTACGTTTTATTTGATGTCAAATAGTTTTTTTCCCTTTCGAAAATTTTATTATTTTTCTACACAAAACGGATTTTTCCTTACTAGTCAGTTCATCATTCTCATATCCATTTATTGAACATTTCAAGTCAGTAATTCCTGTTTTATGAGTAGTTGTCATTCGGTCAAAACTACTTCTTGTTCACTTATGGTTGCATAGTCTATAAACGTAATGTACAACAATTCATCCTGTTGTAATACAGAATGAAAGAAACCTTGTAGATCAAGCCTTATCAAAATGATTAAATGATTATTCTTTATAAGATTATAATTATTATTCCCATGATATTTCAATTCTGATATTTTTTTATTGTTTTATAATCTTTTAACTCAAATGAATAATTTTTACAGATTGAAATCATGAATCAGTTGAAGCTAGACCACCATTGAAAACCTGGAAGCCGATACCAGTGTAGTTCAACCAGGTCTGTTGTGAGATATCAGCTCACTGAAGACAATGGTATATGGTGGCACAACTTCGTGGATTGGTTGAAGTTAGACATTAACACCGCTGGATGCCGGCTCAGTGGTCTAATGATTAAGTGTTCGCGCGCGAAGCCAGTAGGTCCTGGGTTCGAATCCCGCGGGGTATGGGATGGTGGATGCGCACTGCTGAGGAGTCCCATACTAGGATGAAACAGCCGTCCAGTGCTTCCAGGTTTTCAATGGTGGTCTAGCTTCAAATGACTGATGATTTCAATCTGTGAAAATTTCTAAAATCTCCACAAACCCCTTCTGATCAAATGAATAATGTCATATCATGATGAGCCAATCAACTTAATCGGAATTTGAAAATTCAACTCAAACTTATCTACCAATCATAATTCTATAAATGAAGAATGAACATTTCAAGTTTTTGTTTCGCCCCTATCTATCTACCTTTAAATCTATAGTATTTAATGGTATTAAGTATTATTTATTATTCATAAATACCCAACTTACATATTAAAATACATTGTTACCTACCGATTATTATCTAATTTTGAAATATCATTTGTAAAATAAAACTTCATTAGTACGGATTTTTTCAAAGAATGAATCAATTTGTATGTTATTTTATTATTCTTAGTTTATATATAACTTATTATTATTGTTATACAATTGAAATGAATCCATATGGAAATTTTATGTATCCTTCATTATCAACCTCATCATCATCATCATCATCATCAGCAGCAGCAGCATCAGCATCATCTCCAAAACTGTTAGTATCCTCATCAAAATCACTACCTACATCTCAATCTTTAATAGATAAATATATTACATTAAATAATGAATTTAATAAAGATCAATTCAATCCATCATCTGATGATCGTTTTAATAATTATTATGATTATTATTATTATTATAATCATCATCATCATCATCCACGAATGTCAAAACGTGCTGATTTAAAAGATTTATCAATTCATAGTGATATGGCATTTATACGTAAATTATTCGATCAAAAAAATCATGAATTATTAAGACTTGGATAAGTTTTCAACAACAACAACAAAAATCATAAAAATTTTAATTATTTTGACTAAATAATAATTATTATTGACTTAATTCTTGTTTTACTGAACTAACAATTAAAAGATCTATAATTCTATATTATTAGTAATGTATTTATTAGAAATGTTAACCAATAAAAATGCTAATAAAATTTAAAATAAAACTGGCGGGAATTTTGTAGGTATCGTTACCAAGGTTTTGGTTATTTATTCTCTGAAGAAATGGTTTACACTAAGTGACGAAACGTCAGAAAATCTCATTTTTCTACTCATTAAGATATTACAAATATATTAATTTATTTATGGCTTAGATTTGTTTAAAAATTATTATTCATTTAATTTATTCTTTATATTTTAACTAAGGATCATGACAATAGTATAATAAGTAGTATAGTCAATAGTAAAGAAGAAATATCTCATCAAATCTAGTTCGTATGTTTTACGAGATGTGAGTATTTTTTTTTTGGATTTTGACTTTAAGAAAGTTGAAATTCTGTACTGTTTAAATGTTTCAAAGTAGTAAAAGAACTATCAACTGACACCTTTTTATTAATAATGAATTTTTGTAAATAATAGACTGTGAATAATAAGGTTAGAGTTATGGGGATATTGAGTGTAGCTCACACAGACAGGTTGTATGGAGAAATATAGTCGAAGTTACGACTGGAAAATGAAAACTCTCTACTAAGCACCAATTATTCATTGAATGAACGGAAAAGTGACCAAATTGCTAGGTACGATATGTACCGAACAAGAAAATAATGTGATTAAACTTAATCGAGTAATTATATATTAACAACTAATTATTACATACACAAAGAATTTTTTTTAATTGTAGAAAGTGGATATCACTTTGACAATTGAATGGTTAGTTGATAAAGAGAAAATTTATTACACTGCCAACAGTAATTTTTTTATTTTTCTGCTTCTAACTTTAATTAAGATTGTAGTGGATTATCATCAAGATAATTCCTTATGCTTAACATGTTAATTGTCCTGACAACCGTTATTAAACAAATCTCAACTGTGTATAAATTTCAGAAGACAATAAGAAGCGTCGACTACAGTTTATTATTAAGCAGCACAAGTTACTAAGTCACAAACACACAAAACGAATTCGAACAGAAATGATAATGATATCGGACAAATGTAGAGGTGAATTAAGATACGAAAGAGTTAACAAGACTCAATCTCACATGTATCAGAAAGCAAAGATTCATTGAACAATGTAAGCAACTAATATCTGAGCTACCAAGAGGGATATGTGTTTAAGCTGTAACACCTGATTAACCATACGAACACAATACCAATGATAATATAACGATATACAAATTGTCACTATTTAACGCTGTTTGCTAAGTTAGTTGAAGGGCTTGACAGAATTAAACGTAAATAAACTGAAGTGTAGGTGAGGCACCATAATACTATGTACTACATAGTAAAAAGCTTCAATAACATATCGAAGCAAGATTCTTTTTGTATTTAAGTGTGAATATCATTATTTTCGCCACCTTAATCGTTGCAAGAAATGGAGTTTCAACTTGTTATCCATTATTGATATAATCATAATCATTACCAAGTTACGTGTTGCATTTAGCATTTTGCTTATACAACAAATTTGAACAGTTCAGTTAAATGATAATTTGATCTCTATGTTGATAAAATCATATCGTCCTAATTATATTAGTGAATGTTTGTTTGAAACGAACATAAAAAATGATCACAATTTACCACTTCATGTTATAAGTAAATGGAAACAATGTATAGCCTTAATTATTGCAGTACTTACCAATAATTATCAACAAAAAGAACTCAATGACAATCTAAATGCAAAATATCTTACGATTAATTCTATTTTAAGTTCTAATGACTTTGAAGATTAACATAGTTATTAAAATGGATTTATACCGCTTAAGTACATTGGCTTTCATTGCTACTAAGCAAAAAGTGGAAATCTAACTTAAATTTAACTTTTTGCAGAGACTACAATACTTGTAATTCTGACAAATCTTATTATTTAGTAGTTGAATTCATGAGTCAATTGAATCTAGACAACCATGAAAAACCTGGAAGCACTGGACGGCCGTTTCGTCCTAGTATGGGACTCCTCAGCAGTGTGCATCCACGATCCCGCCTGTCTAGCTTCAATTGACGCATGAATTCAACTACTATATTACTATAATATCCACAAAACCCTTCTTTGATTGAAATCTTATTATCTGAAGTCATCAAAATCTGACCAATTGTTTTCTATAACTTGAATGTTTATTCAGCCATCACATAATAATTATTTAATCTAATTGCATTTCTGCAATTCAAATGAATGAAGATTAGTAAGGGAATAGTCACTTTCCAATTAATAATTCTTTTAAATTGTCAGAGTTTTATATCAATTTAATATTAACTTTTTTAAAATCATTTCACTTCAAGACAAAGTTTCCATATCAATTTTTATCATAAACCTATTCATCTTTTCGACTATTAACTCAGTTCCATGTCAATTTTAAAATAACGTTTTACTTAATTTTTGATGTTGCATAAATACACTTGAAGAATCTAACTATCAGTATGACTATCATAGAGTCGGTATTGACTGGACGCACATAAAAATTTATTCTTCTCAAGATGTACTGTGTAAATGGTATGATTAATAAACTATTTATCTCAATGATCTTCTTAATAAAGAAAAGTGTTTTTTTTAAAGTTGAATTCATGAGTCAATTGAAGCTAGACCAACATAAAAAACCTAGAAGCATGGGATGGAACTCCTCAGCATTGCGCATTCACGATCCCACCTCGTGAGATTTCAACCGAGGTTCTATCAGTTTCGAATACGACCGCCTAACCAGTAAACCACTGAACCGGCCGGTATCTAATGATGTTAATGTCTAACTTCAACCAATCCACGAAATTGAGCCACCTTCCACCATTGTCTTTAGTGAGTTATTATCTCACAACAGATCCGGTTGAACTCCATCGATCACTAGAACTCCAGGAAATACCGTCACTAGTGAGTACATGATGATTATAATCAAAGAGGGGTTTAACAGTGAAAGAGTTAGTATTTACAATCTGTTATTGATTGATTGAACATAAAAAAAGATCATATTCTAATGGTAAATAAGACTAGTGACCTAGACAAATTTATTTTATTTATTAATCATGAGATTATATTCAAATAAACAATCAAAATATGTTTAAAATTTTTTTATATTTTTCATTCAAACTGATTAAAGGAATTTAGTAAAGTACTCGATATTCATTTGAGTAAACTATTAAATGAAAACAAACAAACAAAGAAACAATGTATTCACTAAACGAGTTCTTTTGAATGAACTCATTCTCAAAGCTATACAAACGTATTTAGATGTGATAAATTAAAGATCAATGAATAACTATATGTCTATTAGAATTTGATTCGTTGTTATGTGAAATCTGACTACACTATTGTAAATAAATAGTTGAAGCTAAACACTAATAGTATTGAATGCCTGGTCAGTAGTCTAGTGGTTAAGTATTCACGCTCGAGACCGATAGGTCCTGGATTCGAGTCCCAAGGGCAGGATGATGGATGTGCACTGCTGAGGAAGACCATACTAGGACGAAACGGCGGTTCAGTGCTTTCAGGTTTTAAATTGTGATCTAGCTTACATCAACTCATGAATTCAACTATTAAAATTATTACAATCTCCACAAACCCTATTTTGATCCTAAGTCATTTTTGACGACCTTTAACAATTAAGAGATAAAATTTCTTTGGTTTATTATTTTAGACAATATTATAGAGTATAAAATTTTATCTTCCGTTTTAAGAAAACTTTCAAGGATAATCAAAATTAAATATAAAATAATAAATAAGATCATGCAAAATTCATTATATCTTAATATTGTGATAGAAATTCCAAATTAACATGTTAGTATATAGTGTATAGCATAATGATACTATTCGATGTCAAATATGAATAATCAATTGATATATAGTTGTGGATTTATCCTTCTACTTTTGTTAGTCATTATCCATAAAATCTGAAGTGATTTGATGTTAATAAGGAAATAAAGAATTAGTGACAAACAATGAAATGGACTTCTTGAAATATTATCTTGCTTAATTCTTAATCTGTAAAGAACTAACATTTAGTTTTGTCTCTGTCTAAGCATCTGAATTATAAAGTTTCGTTTAATGTGTATATACTGTCATATTTTGTGCTATTCTGAAGTTATTTATTTATTTATTATTTATTTGAACACATAAATATTGATACAAGAGGGCACCAGATATATATGCGCCATACAATGACAATGAGAATGGGAAGAGAAAATGAATGTAAGGTGCGTATAAGAGAGAAGAAAGGAAAGAAAGAGAACAATAACGATCACAGATTAGTGTATGATAGTGTAACAATAATAATAGTAATAGTGGAGAAACGGAAAGGTACAACCAGAAAGAATTCTTTCAATTAAGGAAGCTACAACCACTTTTTATGAAGAAAGTAAAAGAAAGTTACAGCAGGATCGCCACTAGCTTCTATTCTGAGCCATATCTGATAACGTCTCTAGCCACTGTGTTGCACTATCTGTCGATCCCCAACCAGGGAGTCGTGAAAGACCAACACAAGCCAGCCCTTTGCAGTTTTCCTTCATACCACGACACCATGTTATACACTGGACACTTTTCTACTTTTTCCAACCAGTCCCAGAGTCGGCAAATAATGCACGACGTGGAATTCTCTGAGACGACATTCGGAGAACATGTCCAAGCCACCGAAGTCGGTGTTTCAAGATGGTGACACCAAACGTATTATCATCTCTGTGCCCGAACATACGGTGCCGAACCTCTGCATTACTAATATGGTGTTGCCACTGGATGTCACCAACCCTTCGGAGACAACGATGACCAAACACTGAGAGTCGTCTAACATCCTTAACTCGGATAGTCCAGGTTTCACAAGCATAGAGCAGAACTGCTCTCACCGACGCGTTGT